TTTACAAATAAGAAGTTAAGTAATTGCTCAAAGCCATAAAGCTAGTAAATGGCAAACTGTCCTTAGAAGCCAGATCTGTTTCTGATGCTGTTAATTACTATAAAAATGATATTTTGTCTTAGTAATTGTAAGATCACTTTTGAGATTTACACTCTTAGGAATTATCTTTAACTGCTGATATGTTCAACTTAGTAGTAAAAATGAATCTACTTGCTATGCTAATAAGTATTTTGCTGCTAAGACAGATGGTCTTTTAAAAAGAATTGCAGAATATTTCTTTTATCTTTGCCTCTTTTTCCACTTCTTTTCACAAAAGACTAATTCCATAATATTTACTTATTCTAAAATGTATGTATTAGTATTGCTTTAGCCATCATTTTTATTTAGCATTTGTAGTGTTGCCTAGTTCATCATCATGTCAAAACCTCTAGGGATCATTCTGAATACAAGCCTAGATTTTATTAAACATTTTTTGGCTCCTAATGCAGAAGTTCTTAATTTGAAATCCATGGTCACTTAGAGTTCCATGAATTGCTTCAGAAGGTTAATGAACTCTTTAAAATCATATGAAAATGTTGGGTAGATATTTTAAAAATCAGATTCTCAAAGTAATGGGGTTTCATTAAAGGTTAAGAATCTCTCTCCTAAAGGGAAGTATTGTTCCTAAGGCCTGATACTGTAAAATTCAACTGGAATGAGCATTTCCTGGTTGTGCCAGATATATAAATAGCAATGACTGGTGGGAGCAACTAAAAGATTAAGATTTAAAGTTCTAAGTGACTCAAAAAGTTTTCAGTGACTATGTGGGGAATGGGTTACCTTGATACATGAGTACTCTTAGCAGTGTTCTCTTGTCACTGCAGAGGACCCCTCATAAGAGGTTTTTTTCTTTCTCTCATTTGCTGCCTCAGGTTTGTGGTGGGTTTAGAAACCATGAAACAAATCCTATGAGAATTGTGACAGAGTAAAAAGGCCAGAGTGAGATCTTAGAAGTTCTGCTATGGAGAAAGTACATGACTTCAGAGTATGGCGTTGGACACCTATTTTGGTTATTTCACAGTCTCTTTCTGCTTCCTTGACTTCTAACTGTTATGTGCCGTATAGTTGGAATTAGAAAATAGCTGGGGTTTTACTGTATTTTATTGGGGATTATATTATTATTAGATTAAGGTCTCCCCTTGCCATTGTATAAACTCATGAAGTATGGTGTAATTTTTGATGTATCATTGAAGAACATTAAATGATTGAATTTACTCCAGAAACAAAGTATAGTTACTGGCATATATGTTAATCCTACTAGGAAGAAAAAATAGGTGAGCAACCAAGAGCATTATCTAATTAGACATTAAGATTCTTGGATCAGATGGCTCAAGTGTTCATGAAAAGTTTCATTCCCTTTACATTTTAATAAAAGCAGAATTCTGAATTTCTGAAAAACATGGAAGGCTATGTTATTTTTAGAGAGCCAACATTCAAACCCCGAGAAGTCACTAAAGAAGGGGCCAAGACTTTTCTAATGTTATTTTATGCCAAACAAATAGCCAATCAAAAAATAGGCCCTGACTGGTGTAGCTCAGTGGACTAAGTGCTGGCCTGCAAACCAAAGGGTCGCAGGTTCGATTCCCAGTCAGAGCACATGCCTGGGTTGCAGGCCAGGTCCCCAGTAGGGAGCACGTGAGAGGCAATCACACATTGATGTTTCTCTCCCTCACTTTCTCTCTCCCTTCCACTCTCTCTAAAAATAAGTAAAATCTTTTAACAAAAGGAAGAAAGAAAAGTAGTCTATTTTTGTGTCCTAAAATGTTAGGGAAAGATCAAGAATTATTAGATAAAGTGCTGGCAAAAGCTACTATTAAAAGTGTCCCCATTATAAAAACCTGTTCAAAAGTGTTGAAACTTAGGTGCTGAAGACATTGATCGATTTGTTAAGAAGGTTACCTTGAGATTTTTATCCTTCACCTAAAATATTTGTGTTTATTTTCTTGGCTTAATATATGAGTTTGACTTCCTAGCTTGAAGTTTGACTCCACACTCAATAACAGAGGAGCATATTATAATGATTATCCAAAAATGTACCTTTTTAATGAAATTGAAAGGTAGAAGTAGTTTTATTTTTGTGTTAATTAGTAATAGTACTAGTGCTCTATAGTTATCCAAGTGATTTCAGTTTTGCTCTTTACTTACATATTGGACAAGTCATCATTCACATTTTACACAGTAATAAACTAAAAAGTATAAAAATAGTGATTTTATTTTTTATTTTGCACAGGGGTTACATGGTTTGTTGTTGGTAGAACTAAACTAGAACCAGCATCCCTGTCTCCCAGTTCAGAGCTCTTATGATCTGCATGTGAACTCCTAATATTAATATGTGTATCTTTTATACATACGGGAACATTTATTTAGATAAATTTCTAGCAGTGGAATTTCTGGGTCTAATGGTATGGATAGGTTAAAAATTTGATGCATTCTGCCAAATTGCTTTCTAAAAAGGCTTTGCTGATTTGCTCTTATCAGTTATAAGAGTGTATCTTTCCCTGTACCTTTACCAACTCTGGTAATGTTAATAATAACATTAAATAGAACTTAAGTTTTTACTGTGTGCCAGGTGTTTTGAGCCCTGTGTGTATTATCTCATTCTCTCTTCTGAACAACCTTTTGAGTTAGATAGCACTCTCGATTACAGATGAGAGACACAGAGATGTTGAGTAACTTGTCTAAAATTATAGTCAGGATGCAAACACAAGCAGTCTGATTCCAGGACCCCTGTTCTTAAATACTTCTCTATTTGCAGTTCTCTTATTACTAGGGAAGTTTAGCATCCTTTTATATATTTTTTTGGTCTTTCTCATTTTTCTGCTATGATTTGCATGTTTGTACCATTTTTCTACTAGGATTTGGGTTTTGTTTTTCTTTTTGATGTAGTTTGTATTTTTTGAATATGTGGGAAAGAATAATGTCTTAACTTTGCATCTTGTTATAAAAGTTTTTAATTTCTCTGCAGTAAAATCTGTTGACATTTTCTTTTATGATTTCAGAATTTTTGTATCTTGCTTTAAAAATCCCTTCCCATATAAAAGTTTTTTTATGTTTTTTCTAGTATGTGTATACTTTTAAGATATTTTACTCTTTAAAACATCTGGAATTTTCTTTATAGTGTGGATTAGAGGTCTAACTACCTTTTTTCCAAGTGCATAATCAGTTATTCCAATATCATTTACTTAGTTCATTATTCACTGATTTGGAATGCTAAACATACTATTATTTGGGGTCTGCTTCTGTATTTTTAAGTCTTGTTAATATGTTTTCTATTCATACACCAATACTATACTTTTTACTTAGTACAGGATTAGTGGTTATTTTGATATCTTCTATGTCAAGGCCTACCTCATTATTATTTTTAATGTATTATCTATTCTTACTTATTTTATCTTACAGATAAGTCTTAGAAACAACTTGTCATTTTTCACTTTTAAAAACCCTATTGGGATTTTGATTGAAACTGTACTGAATTAGTTTTGGAAAGAATTAACAGCTTTACAAAATGAGCCTTCCCAGTAAGGAATGCAGGATATGTGTCTACTTATTTGCTGTTTTAAAATGTCCTTCATTTAAATTTTACTCTCTTTCTCATATAGTAGATATACTTTTCTTATTAGGCATATTCATGGGTTTTTCATAAAGTTTTTATTGCTCTTGTGAATGAGTTCTTCTTTCCGATGACTTTCTGTTTGGTCACTGTAGGTGTTTAATAAGAAACCATTGCTTTCTGTTGTATTTACATCAGACCACTTTGCTGAACTTTTACTTGGTCCTGATACCTAGTAGATTTTTAAGTTGATTTCTTGACTTTTCTGGGTGGAAATAAGTTTTGTATCTTGTTTGTAACTCATTGCTTTGGCTAGGGCTCTTGTGTAATAATAAATAGTAGCAATACTAGCAGCCTTAACTTGTTTTCCATTGTAAAAGGAATTTTCCTTATGTTTTGTAAAGAGGTATGTTGAGTGCTCTAGGTTCTGGCCTAGACCACTTGTCAAGTCAAAGGCATTCCTACTATTCCTAATTTTTAAAAAGATTTTAAAACTAGGTACAGTTACTGAATTTTATTGAATGCTTTTTGGACATCTATTGGAATGCTCATTTTTTTTTCTTCCCTTTACTGGGACTACAGGGACTTAAATTGAGTGGAAGTTGAATCATGTTCACACACTGTCTGTATTATTTAACATATTGCTGGATTTGGTTTCCTATTACTATATTTAAGATTTTAGCATTCAGCCCTGGCTGGTGTAGCTCAGTGGATTGAGCACGGGCCTGCAAACCGAGGGATCGTGGTTCGATTCCCAGTCAGGGCACATGCCTGGGTTGCAGGCCAGTTCCCAGTAGGGGACCCACAAGGGGCAACAGTACATTGATATTTCTCTCCCTCTCTCTTTCCCTTCCCCTCTAAAGTTAAATAAATAAAATCTTTTAAAAAAAAAGATTTTAGCATTCAAGTATTCCTTGAATTCTTGGTGCAGTCTTTGTCCAGTTTATGTCCAACTTGTAGAATGATTTAGCTGTAGCTTTCTATCTTTTTCTAGCTCTGAAACAGTTGTTTAGCAGAAATTATCTGTATTTTAAAAGCCTGGAACCAAGAAGTCCTACTCCAAGTGGTAAAAACAATTTATGAAAATTTTTTTTGCCTTTCAAATTTAATTTCCTTGTTTTTTCTGAGCAAGTGTAATTATTTATTGTCCATGATACTTTTATAATCTGGATCTTGTCCTCTGCAGAAATAGGCAAACAAAATTAGAATAATTGATAATTCAGTGATGAAACCAGGCATTCATTTATTATTTAAATCCTTTTATTCTCTGGTTAGTAAAGAGACAATATTAATAATTAAAAGAGGCATGATATGTCTCTGATTTTGAATTAATACTGATCAATCAGAGAATATACCCCTACAATGTGGAATATATATATATATTCCCCACACACACACACACACAGACACACACTGTGCAACCTACTTCAGTGCCTGTAGCCCATGGGCAGAGGCCAGGCAATGGTTCAGGACCACTGTTTGCTCTGGTATGGGACACTGTGAGATACCCAGGGTGGAAAAAGTGATCAAATAAACTCACATCTAGTGAATCTTCTAGGTGTTGTTGCTTTCAAATATGTAGAAAAGGTTCATGATCTATTGTCAGGGCATAAAGATGCATTTTGTGTTTTCATTTATGATGATGATAACTTTGTGTGTCTTTATCTATACTTGCGCTTGTTTAAAGTCAGAGCAGCAGTAATTGGTTTAGAATTGAAGAGGGGATGGGGAGAGCTCTCAACTTTGGCCTTACTGGAGCCATGCATAACCAAGTTAACTGAAGAGTAAATCTGCACAATGAAGATGAAAAAGAATGGCAAGGTTGTGATGTGCTCAAGTCAAATTTTTTAAGATATATTTTATTGATTATGCCATTACAGTTGTCCTATTTCCCCCCTTCATTCCCCTCCACCCTGCACACCTTCTCCTCCACCATTCCCCCCCTTTAGTTCATGTCCACGTGTCTCAAGTTCTTTAGATTCTGTATTTCCCATACTATTCTTGCTCTCCCCCCTATCTATATTCTACCTACTATCTGTGCTACTTATTCTCCGTACCTTCTGCTAACCCTCCATGTGATCTTCATTTCTATGGTTCTGCTCCTGGTCTAGCTGTCCTCTTAGTTTGCTTTTGTTTTAGGTGTGGTTCTTAATAACTGTGAGTATGCTGTCCTTTCACTGTTCATCTTTTTTATCTTTTTCTTAGAGAAGTTCCTTTAATATTTAAGGGCTTGGTGATGATGAACTCCTTGAATTTGATCTTATCTGAGGATCACTTTATCTGTCCTTCCATTCTAAATGAAAGCTTTGCTGGATAGAGCAATCTTGGATGTAGGTCCTTGCCTTTCATGACTTGGAATACTTCTTTCCAGCCCCTTCTTGCCTGTAAGGTCTCTTTTGAGAAATCAGCTGACAGTCTGATGGGAGCTCCTTTGTAGGTGACTACCCCCTTATCTCTTGCTGCTTCTAGGATTCTCTCCTTCATTTTAATCTTGGCTAATGTAATTCTGATGTGCCTTGGTGTGTTCCTTCTTGGGTCCAACTTCTTTGGGACTCTCTGAGCTTCCTGGATTTCCTGGAAGTCTATTGCCTTTGCCAGATTGGGGAAATTCTCCTTTATTATTTGTTCAAATAAGTTTTCCACTCATGGCTGTTTCTCTTCCCCTCTGGTACCCCTATAATTCAGATGTTGGAGCATTTAAAGATGTCCTGGAGGTTCCTCAGCCTCTCCTCATTTTTTTGAATTCTTGTTTCTTCATCCTTTTCTGTTTGGTCATTTTTTTCCTCCTTCTGGCCCACTCCCTTGATTTGAGTCCCAGTTTCCTTTCCATCACTGTTGGTTTCCTGTGCATTTGCCTTCATTTCACTTAGTTTGCCTTCATTTGTTCCTCTAATTTGTGATTAAATCAACCAGTTCTGTGAGCATCCTGATCACCAGTGTTTTGAACTGTGCATCTGAAAGTTCGGCTATTTCTTGGTCACTTAGAGTTATGGGCTCTGGGACTTTGAGCCATGGCTCATTCTTCTTGAGACGTGTTTTGGTCTGTTCCCGCCTGTTAGGTCTGAGGAGCAGAGCCTTAGGTGTTCACCAGGGCAGGTCAGGGCAGGGCCACCCAGGTTGCTGGGTTTTGATGCTGTATGTGGGGGTGGGGTCAGAGAGGTGCAATGGTGGTCCCCTCTGCTGCTTCCCACTGCTGAAGCCGGGGTGGTCCATCTCACTGCTCGCTCCTTTGCCTGGTTTATCTGTGCGTGAATATGTGACCACCATCAGGCTGCCACCTTGTGCTCTCACACCTGGGATCTGCCAACTGCAGTGCTTGCTCATTGGTCGGTCTGCCCGAGTTTTCCTGCGCAACCCCTCTCGGCCAGTGGCTGGCTCTGCCCCTCTTACTGGTCTGGCTCAATGGTTCCTTGTTGTCGGACTTCCATATAGTTCAATTTTCTGTGTTCTGGTTGCATTTTTGTTACTAAAGTTTTGCTGTCTTTAAACTTGGTTGTGCGAGGAGGCACAGTGTTTCCACCTATGCCTCCATCTTGGCCAGAAGTTCTCGAGTCAATTTTTTTTTCTTTCCTTCTTTTCTTCCTGAGAGAGGAGGGAGCGAGGAGAGACAGACATTGAGACGTTGATGTGTTGTTCTACTTTTTATGCATTCATTGGTTGATTCTTGTATGTACCCTGACCAGGAATAGAACGTGCAATCTTGGTGTATCTAGACAATGATATAACCAACTGAGGACCCAGTCAGGGCTTAAGTCAAACTTTTTGATAAATCTAGAGTGGACTTTTTAAACATTTATTGCTTTTGACTTTTTAAACATTTATTGCTTTTGACCTGTAATCACTCCTGAAATTGGGCCATTTCTTTATACTTGCACTGAGAAACCACTGCCAAAAGCCAACAATTTAGGATGCTGTCATTCATTTTTTTTGTTTCTAACCGCTATAGACATTAGAGTAATAGGCTCAAACTTCTGCAGAATAGCTTGCTCACATTTCTTCTTAGGTCTCTTCAGTAAATGTGAATCCTCTTAATTATATGTTAAACTACCTTTGGGCTAAAGAACAGTGGTATAGATGCAAGCAATGTTTCTGAATTTCTCAGGTGAAAGAAAAAAAAGTTATTCTAAATACTTTAAGATAGGGTTAGTTTTACATTGTTGAATGATGCAGAATGTTACTGCCACTAACATAATTAGGTTTTAACTTGAAGAAATGTACTAAGAACATCAAGGCCTTTTTTAGGTGTTCCTGTGATTTGGAAAGGATATAGCAAAATGATTTATAAATAGATTGCTAGTGTTGCACACCAAAGGGCAAATTTGGGCTCACTTCCTCTTTTGCAGGTTGTGCAAGTTGAGCAACTCTTGTTTTCTGCATTTATCTGATTTAGAGGGTTGTGGCCCTTCTTTTAGTAACCTAAGGGATTTGGCACTAGTTATGTATAATAAAGCAGCAGAATCCAAAGTCTTGAATTGCTCAAATAAAGAAAAACCCCAGGCCCTGTCCAGGTAGTTCATTTGGTTAGAGTGTTGTCCTGATGCACCAAGATTGCAGGTTCCATCCTCTGTCAGGGCACATGCAGGAATCAACCAGTGAATGCATGGATGGGTGGAGCAGCCAATCGATGTTTCTTTCACTTCCTCTCTCTCTACAATCAATAAATTTTAAAAAATTCAGAATATACTAAGAAAAACCTCTTCGTAAGCCTATTTTAGAGTGTGGTGGTTTTTTTTTTTCTTTTAATTGTAATAGGCTCTGGCTGGTAGCTCAGCTTTTTTTTTTTTTTTTTTTTTTATGGTCCTGTGCACCAAAAGGTTACAGGTTCCATCCCCTGTTGGAGAGCATAGGAGAGGTAGCTGATCCATGTTTCTCACTGTCTCACCCCCTTCCTCTCTCTGTGAAATCAATAAACATCCTCGGGTGAGGATTAAAAACATTTTTTTAACAGTTTAGTTTTCCAGATGTAGAATTATTTGATTGATCGATTGATTTGATTTATTTAATTTTTTGGTGATGAGCTAGGTGGTTCAAATTGTTGAATGGCCCTGGCTGGTGTAGCTCAGTGGGTTGAGTGCCAGACTGTGAAGCAAAGGGTCACAGGTTTGATTCCCAGTCAGGGCACATGCCTGGGTTGCAGGCCAGGTCCCATGAGGGACAACACATTGATGTTTCTCTGACTGTCTCTCTCCCTTCCCTTCTCTCTAAAAAAATAAATAAAATATTTTTTTAATTGTTGATTATGTTTGGAATAATATATGCCTCATTTCAGAGAACTGTGAAGATCAAATGAGATAATTAGTGGGAAAGGTCAATAAAAATTTCAAATGTGATTGTTACTTTTAACATCTATGTATACTTTACTGATAAAGAGTCATATGGATATTCATGATCAATAATGGGACATTTCAAGCCCAGAGAATTTTAATTGTGGACTTTATATTGCTTGTTTTCTATGGTATCTATATTCTTAAGTTAGGCCAGAGACTCTTCTGTTTGTAACACAAGAAACACTTGAATCAACCTTCAACACCTCAGCAAAAGGCTGATCAGGTGTATAAGGTCAGCATTTTGTCTGTATGTCTTGTCTCTGCTGTTCTCTGAAATTTTAAGAAGATTTTATTTATTTTTAGACAGAGGGGAAGGGAAGGAGAAAGAGAGGGAGAAAAACATCAATGTGTGGTTGCCTCTCATGTACCCCCTACTGGGGACCTGGCCTGCAACCCAGGCATGTGCCCTGACTGGGAATCAAACTGGTGACCCTTGGGTTCGCAGGCCAGCAGCACTCAATCCCCTGAGCCACATCAGCCAAAGTTGTTGTCTGAATTTTGTGTAATAAAAACTAGTTGGTCACCATGAGGGATTAATTGAATGAGAATGTTTCTGACTTTACTGATTTTAAATATCACTTATAGCAGAGAGTTCTTAACAGAGATGCCATTTCTTTGGGACTCTTCTCTATCCTAGGTAACTTTAAATTACTGTTTGTCCTGAAGTTAATATACTCAGTTCTTAGGAATACCAAAAATTTTTAATTTCTTATTACATCACCTTTATCTTTGTGAGGAGCTTTAGTTTGAGAATTTGGGGCATATATGGAGGATGTAAATTCTCAGTGTAATTTTTACTTCCTAGGAAATGCATTGAAATAGATTCAAATAATGTATGAAATTTTACTTTTGAATATCCCTTTAACCAGTCTGGTAAAGATCATTCTATCAACTCCATCTGTGATGCTCATTCTCCCCAATAAAATCTTAGACTCAACTCTTAAAGTATCCCATTTCTTTTTTTTTTTTAATTTTACTTATTTATCTTTTAGAGGAGAAGAGGAGAGAGGGAGAGAAACATCAATGGTTGTCTCTCATGCATCCCCTACTGGGAACTGGCCTGCAACCCAGACATGAGCTCTGACTGGGAATCAAACCACAATCTTTTGGTTCACAGGCCCATGCTCAATCCACTGAGCTACACCAGCCAGGGCCCCATTTCTTATTTTTTAAAGTTATTCACCCACTTGTTTACTATCTGTATTTTTAATATAT